AGCTGTAAACACATGTTCACACAGAAATGTTCACACAGATGTTTAGTGCAAGTTTATTTATAATTGCCCAAATTTGGAAGCAGTTAAGATGTCCATCAGCAGACAATGGGTAAGTACACCATGGTACATTAGGCAATGAAATGCCATTCAGTACTAAAAAATAAATATGCAACAAAGCCATGACAAGACACGAAAGAGCCTTAAATACATATCCGTAAGTGGAAGAAGCCAATCTGAAGAGGCTACATACTGTGTACTTAGCACTATAGCAGAGTCTTGAAAAGTAAGCAGTGTGTCAGCAATATGAAGATAGTGGTTGCAGGGAGCCAGATGAGAGAGAAGGATGAATGAAGTGCAACCTGGAAGATTTGTAGGGCATTAAAATTACTCTGTATGATGCTATATTGGTAGACATTTGTACATACATTTTCCCATACAAAATGTACAACACCAAGACTGACTGCTAATGTCACTATGGACTTCAGGTAACAAAGGATTCATTGATTATTACTGTCTGTGAAGGTAACAAATGCACCATGCCAGTCTCTGATACTGATAGTCCAGGAAACTCAGGGCAAAGAGCCGGCTTTAGGGAGTTTCCTGTTACTCCACTTATTTTTGCTGCAACCTAAAATATTCTTTAAAATTAAGTCTGTAAGTTTTGGCTAGTAGAATAATCTATCTGTCTGTCTGTCTATCTATCTATATCTATCTGTTGTATTTTAGGGAAGGGTCCACAGGGTGTTCAGAGTATCACTACTAGATCAGACTCATAGTGATTGGTCTGTTTACAGCCTCCCTAGAGCTGGGATTATAGGTGCGTGCCACTACTCACACTCAATTGCCATCTCAGTGTGGGCTGGCACGGCAGGCTCAGGGATCGAACTCTTGCGCCTGCACCTACTTGCAGAGAATAATTTAACTCAAGATGCAACCCTTATTTTTATAGATAAAAATCAGAGTTAGAGGTACACACTCGGAGTCCCAGCCCTCTGGTTGGCTGAGACAGGAAGATCACAAATTCAAGCTTAGTGATTTAGTGAGACCCTGTCTCAAAAGCAAACAAAAAACCCAGTTACCAGACTGCCCAGGAAGAATGTGCGAAGGTGAGGAGCTGGGATACAAGGTATGGTTAGAAGAGCCAGTCTGAGATTTCTTTGATTTCTTTGTTCAATCCATTTCATTGTTTTTCATCTGCCTTCTCAATATCCATGAAAAGCTTCTTTCTCATACCCTAGGTTAGGACTTTCCTTAGAACCTGAACGTGAAACATTAGGAGTTTAGCTACATAGTTTTCATGATGGCTATTGATAGGAGTAGTGAATAGTGGGAGAGTTGCATGCAGACAAAGAGCCAAACCATGTAGTCTGAGCCACATAAGCCACTTTGTTGCAAAGTGATTGTGGGAAAGGAAAAGGAAGTCATTTAAGCAGAATTATTTACTGTCGTCTTCGTCCCAGTTTATGTGCGGTCAGTTTATTTGCATCTATATATATTGTTTTCTTAGGAAATTATTTTTTTTATTTTTTTATTTTTAACATTTTGTGTGTGTGTGGGGGGGGGCCAGCTCAGCCCACCAGGGGGCGCGGCTGGCTGGCATGTGGTGCTGGGGGATCGAACCGCGGTCCCTGTGCTTTGCCAAGCTTGTTCCAAGTAGGTGCTTTAGACCACTGAGCCATCTCTCCAGCCCCAGGAAATTATTTTTAAGGGCAAAGATCTGCAAAGGAAACTAGGGCTAGTTAAAAGTTTAAGCAGGCATACTGAGAAGCAAGTTCTGTGGCGTGGTGAGAGATGTTCGTGGGTTATTTTTAAGTGCCATTGAAGAGTATTTGTGTTCTAAATAGTTTGAGGCTTTTCCTTCTAGTTTATAGAATGCTGAAATTTCAGCATATAGACATGTTCTATAGTTTTTGCCATAAATAGTGATGCTGAAAAAAAAAAATAGTGATGCTGAAAAATGCTTGCTTAGAAATATAAAGCCAGGATTCAAATAACCATTTATTGTGTAGATTAACATAAAAAGAAGATACTAGTTACCTAGTTTTCTAGAAATATGCATAAAAACCTTAGTTTGACTGCCCTTTAAAAAAAGGGCAATTTTAGGATAGAGAATTTTAGGATAGAGAATTTTTTATTAGTAGTTATAAACTATGACTTTGTAGCATCATAGAAAATTTTAATTCCTTCAAATTTCATACTGTCAAAATTTGTTTTTTTTGTTTTTTTGTTTTTTTTGTTTTTTTGTTTTTTTTGGTTTCTCGAATGCCTTCAGGGCACTTTTGGCCAGCGGGAGAGTTGTGAGGTTCGAACTCCAGCAACCTGAGGCTGACAGCTTTGTGGAAGCAGCCACTTAAAGGACTGAGCTAGGGCCAGGCCCCCATACTGTCAAAATTTGTGCAACGGTGTTTATTTTATAAGACACATTTTTCCCTGTTGAAATTCTACTTACAGTACATGTGTCTTTTTATTTTATTTATTCTGACTTAAAAAAATGTACTCATAAACTTGTTCTTCTGGCCACGAAGGCATTAATGAAGATTGGATTTAATTCCTTATATTATTTCATGAAACAAACAAAAACCTTAGACAAAATAAATGAAGCAGCACTTTCAAATGAACAACAGACAGCACAGGGCAGTGATCCTCGAGAAAGTGAAAACAACGAACAGGTGAAGCGTACGATTATGTTAGCTTATTGCTCAGAAGGAGTTCCAGTCTGCAAAGTAAAAAGAAGGACCCCAGGCTGAGCCCAGAGATCTCTTGGAGTTGAAGAGTCCAGAAGGGCAGGAAAGCTGAATTTTGGAGAGAAAAGAGCTACACCAGGAGAGAGCTCCAGCAGTCTGCAGTCCCCCTTAAAGGTTTTCATGAGTATTGGTCAGTGAACACGTATGGAAACTGCCCACAGCCAGAGAAGGGCCACACAAAAGTGTTACAGGCAACAATCTGCTTGTCTTTCAGGGTTAAAATAGTTTGTGCTCTCACCAACGGGACCAGGATAACCTCCTAAGTTACAGGAATGAGGAAGAGTACTCAGGAGGAATTGCCTTACCAATGGGCAAACGTGGCCCAGGGGAGAAGGCTGCTCTGATCCCCTCTACAAAGCAAACTTAGGAGAGGATGGAAATGTTTCTAAGTAGTAGCTTAACTACATCCCACTCTGAAGCTCAATATTTATAGGCTACAAAATACTTAACAGTCACCAAAATACAATTTACATTTGGCCCCTAGTCAGAAACTATCACTCTAAAAAAAAAGAAAAAGAAAAATAAATTATCACTCTTGCAAAAAAGCAGGAAGACATAACTCAAGAGAAAAATCAATCAATAGAAAGTGACTCAAATGACACAGTGGTGGAATGAGTAGACAAAATACATTGAAACAGTTTATATAACTGCATTTCATACGATCAAGAAAACAGCAAGATTGAGAGTGTTACAGATACATGTGGGAGATAGGGCCCAAATTGAACATTGAGCTGGGCGAGCGGCGGGGCCATCGGCAAGATGGCGGCGCCCAGGCTGCTGCGCCAGCTGCTGGTTCAGGCCGGGATCCCGCGCAGCCCTTCAGCTCGCTCAAGTTCCACGTGCGGGACCGCCGCATGGCGAGCCAGGCTGGCTGAAAGCTGGGCTGACCTTGGGCACCACCGCCTTCCTTTGGTTCTATCTCATCAAACAACATAATGAAGATGCTTTAGAATATAAAAGAAGAAATGGGTTGGAATAAGCTTTGGAAATACTTATGTAGTGTGCTCCTCATACAGTTATAACAGATGCTCTGGCTTTTCCAACCTGTTGACTTGTGAATGTGAGAGCGGTTATATGTAGATGTGCATCAAGCCAGCCTTTGTGTTTTGCTTTCATCAAGAAGCAAAAATACTTACGTATCCAAAAAATTAAAAACAACTGAACAAGGGGCCGGGGAGATGGCTCAGTAGGATAAGCGCTTGACCGGCAAAACACCAGGATCTGAGTTCAATCCCGGGTTCCGCCAAAAAACAAAAAAAACAAAAACAAAAAACTGAACATGTACAGGTGAAAACTACATTGTAAGTTGAAAAATATTATAGGGCCGGGGAGATGGCTCAGTGAGATAAGCGCTTCCTGGCAAGCACAAGGGCCTCAGTTCAATCCCTGGTTCCACAAACAAAACAAAACAAAAAACCAACAACAACGATATACACTGTGTGGAATTAATAGCAAATGAGATAGTGCAGGAGAAATGTTTAGCAACTTGAATCCATAGCAATATAAACTATCTAGAATAAACTAAAGAAGAACATTGGGAAAAAAAAAAAAAAAAAAAAAGGAACAGAGCACCAGTGAGCTGTGGGACAACTTTGTGTGTGTGTGTGTGTGTGTGTGTGTGTGTGTGTGTGATTTTTCCAGTATCATATATTGATGATAAGATACAGACTTTCTAGATCTGAGAAAGAACATCTATGTTTTTATATGATGTAGAAGATTTTAACAATACTATCAACCGGTTTGACATTTGTATAGTTTACCCAAAACAGACCAAATACGCATTTATACATACTTTCCAGTTGTACACAGGGTTTTTTGTTGTTGTTGTTGTTGTTTTGAGATAGGGTTTCTCTGTGTAGTTCCGCCTGGCCTTGTACTCACTATTGTAGCACAGGCTGGCCTAGAGCTCACAGTGATCCTTCTGCCTCTGCCTCCAGAGTGCTGGAATTACAGGCATGTACTACCATGCCTGGCTAGGGTGTTTATTAAGATAGATTGCATTTTTTTTTTCTACTGTGCCCCAGGCTTCTTTATTTAAAATCAAAGTGATGAGGGGATTAAAATCAAGAGCATAATTGAACTGCAGCTTCCCTCCGACTGGTTCCCCCAAATTCCCTGCCCCCACCCTCTGTGCTTCTAATTGCTTCTTTAGTGAATGAAGAACTTAACCCCAAAGCCCTGCTAGATCCCAGCTCCTTCCTAACTCCGCCCCCTCCACCACCTGGCATCCCTGGCAGGAACAGTGCCACCTCAGCCTCAGTTTGAGTGCATGGGAGAGCCCAGGGTGGGGACAGGCACCGGGGGAAAGGCTTCCCCCTCGGGGAAAGGGACAGAGGAGTACAGCGTGGTGAAGGGGGGACTTCCATAGCCTGGGGTGCCAAAGTGGTGCCCTGGGGCCAGAGGAAAGGACACAGGGGCCCCTGGGAAAGGGGACCCCGCAGCCTCATACTCCTCTCGCTGGGAATAGTCAATGCCCGATCGCTTGCCCTTCTGGCGCCGGTTACAGAACCACACTCGGACCACGTCCTTCTCCAGCCCCAGCTGCTCCGCGATGCGGCTGATCTGCTGCAGCGTGGGCTTCGGGCACAGCAGGAACATGTTCTCCAGGCTGCCTCTCACTTGGTTCTCAATGCTTGTCCGCTTTCTCTTGCGGGCCTGCAGGAGGCTTTCCGTTTTGCATCTCTCCTGCAGGTTCTCGTTGTTGTTGTCAGCCTCCTCCACCCACCTCTGCAGCAGGGGCCGCAGCTTGCACATGTTCTTGAAGCTGAGCTGCAGCGCTTCGAAGCGGCAGATGGTCGTCTGACTGAACACCTTCCCAAAGATAGCACCCAGAGTGAGCCCCACATCGGCCTGAGTGTACCCCAGGGTGATCCTCTTTTGCTTCAGCAGCTTGGCAAACTGCTCCAGTTCTTTCTGCAGGGAGTTGATGTCCTGGGACTCCTCGGGGTTTGGCTCCAACTTCTCCTCTACCTTCACCTCACCAGGGTGGGTGGCGCAGGGCTCGGGGGAGGCCTCCTCTGAGCTGCTCTCTACTCTGGCCCCCACCTCGTCCTCGGGCCGGGTGCTCTCCAGGCCACCTTGGGGTGCCAGGCCCATGCCAACCTGAGGCCCACAGCACGCCGCCACCCCTCCACAGAACTCATAAGGCTGGCGGCACGGAGGGACACCCCACACCTCGGGGCCTGGCCCGACCCCCGGCCCCACTCCTGGCCCCCCGGGAGGGCCTTGGAAGCCGAGGCAGGTCTGTGGGTCAACCCAGCCCGGCTCCTGCCTTCCGGGCCATCGCCACCTCCAGAGAAGGCAAAGTCGGAAGCCAGGTGTCCGGCCATGGGAAGGAGGGAACCCCCAGCCAGAGGCCTGGAGAAATGAAGATAGATTGCATTTTTTTTTGTAAAATAATATCAATAAATTTAAAGTGACTTGTTACAAAGAATATATTCCAAACAAAGATAATTAAAAATCAGTGACAGATACCTAGGAGAATCCTAAATACAGCAAAACCTTGGCTTATGACCATAATTTATTTCTGAAACTTGCTTCTAAAATCCAAAACTCTGGCATATCAAAGCGAATTTCCTCATAAGAAATAATGAAAACTCAAAGTTTTATTCCATACACCCATAAATATTCACATAAACATGATTATAATACTGTAATACATAATAATATACAAAATATAAAGAAAAACACACTAAACTGCATTTAACCTTTGAAAACTTGTGGCTGGTGTGAGGGAGATAGAGAGAAGGGTTATTGTGTAGGATGACATTTACTATCAGTAATGCAATCACTGCTGTCTTTTGCCTCAGTGGAGTTTTTTTCATTTTGTGCACCTTTAGCAAGGAACTTATCCAGTGAGACTTTCACCTCTTTTTGAGGGTTTCACAGAAATGTGATATTGCATTGCTGTTAAACAGATGCATTGCTTACACTGCTAGAGTCTTATTTGGGTGTAGCTTTTCTACAAAATTTTGCAGTTTCTCCCATTTTACACGTTTCCCAAATCTCATTTGAAATAAGGGATTTCTTGGCCTTATTCTCCTCTTCTGCACAAGAGATCTCCTCCATAACCTTTTGCTGCTGGGTGACAGTCACCCACAGTCCCATAGAGAGAGGGGAAAGAAAGAGGGGAGGTGGGAGAGTGAGAGGAAACACTGGCTCCGTTGTGATCATGTGATTTTTGGCATCGCACACTTTTTGTATTGCAAGCCATCACTTGATTATCAAGTTAAAGTTTTTTAGAAATGTCTGCTTGTCTTGTAGAACACCCATAGAATTAACTTGCAGTCCAAGGTTTTACCTTATTAGGAAACTAACATATCTCTAAGGAACCTATAGGTTAAAGAAAAAATGAATATACATTTAGAAAATACTTTGTATATTTTGAATGAAAATCATATGGAATTTGTGGGTCATAGTTAATGCAGTGCTCAAAGGAAAATTACATCAACATATTCCTGTGTTGGAGAAGTAAAGTCATAAATCAGTGTCCTCAGCTTCTACCTTAAGAAATTCAGGGGGCTGAAGCAGGAGGATTACAAGTTTGTTTGTTTAGGATTACAAGTTTGAGGCCAGCCTAGGCAACTTAACAAGAACTGGTGTCAATAGAGGTTGGAAGTGTAGCTTAGTGGCAGAGTGCCTTGGTTCAATCCCCTATTATTGGGTGGATGCTAGAAAAACAAAAAATGAAACTAAAAGTATACAGAAGAAATAAATCAAAGATAAAAGCGAAGTCAGTGAACTAGAAAACAGGAAATCATTAGTAAAAAATTAATTGGCTCTTTGAGATGACTGATAAAATTATCAGGGTCTAGCTCAGGCTGAATGATCAGGAAAAAATACAGATTATCAATATTAGGAATGAAATATGTAACAAAGCTACAGGTCTTATAATTAGAAGGATTAAAAAAAGAATAATTTGAATTACACTATACTAGTAGATTAGACATCTTTATAAAATGAACATCCTTGAAAGATAGAAAATACAAAAACTCACTTGGAAGAAATAGACAACTTGAAAATTGCTTTATTTATTAAAGAAAATGAATTCCCACAAAGAAAACCATAGGCCTGAATGGCTTTCCTGAGGAATCTACTAAATACTTTAGGCAGTCATAATATCAGTTATACTCAAGCACTTCCCTTAAAATTGTTGAGGAAAGAATGCTTCTAACTCGTTCTATGACACTGGTATTGCCCTCATAGCCAAACCAGACTATTTAATTGCATGGAAAGAAAATTATAGACCAATATCCCTTATGAACATAGTTGCAAAATTTTAGCAAACTAAATCCAGCAAGACAGAAAAACAATAAAATACAATAACCAAATGAGTTTTGTTCAAGGTATGCAAGATTGATTTAACACTTGAAAGCCAGTAGTCACATGGCACATTACAAAGTAAAAAAGACATTATATGATCATCTCAGTAGATGTGGGAAAAGCTTTTAATAATATACAACATGGCTTGCTAATAAATCTCAGCAAACTGGGAAAAGAGCTCTGGATGGGGCATGCAGAGCAAGGAGTGCATGTGAGATGCCCAGAAGGAACCAGGGATGGGGTCTGAGCTCAGGAGGTTAGAAGAGAAGTGTGGGTTTCTGTCACACCTGGGGACTCATCAGATTCTGCATGGTACTGAGACAAAAGCATTGCACCAATTATAAGTAAGCAAATAAGATGGTGAGTCTCAAACCTTTAACATTCAAGTCTCACTTTGATTACTAGTACTTTGGGCAGGAACACAGGCAGTTTTAAGGCTTAAACATGAACCTACCATGGTGGAGAATACTTGTAATCTGGGAGGATGAAACAGGAAGGCTGCAGGTTCAAGCCATGCTGAGCAACCTAAAAAGACTATCTCAAAATAATTTTTTTTTTTTTTTTTTTTTTAAGAAAAGGCTGGGGATGTAGCTCATTGTGAAGGTCTTGGTTTCAATCTAGTACTACAAAACAAAAACAGAACAAAGCAAATTTCAAACACTATCACTAAAGAAACCAGTAATAATGCTATGATGGATTAAAAAGATCTATATCAATTTAGAAAATGTCTAAGTTATTTCACTGTTCTGTTCTTCAAATAAAACCCACCAAGTGTGGTGGAGCACACCTGTAATCTCAGCACTAGGGAGGCTGAGGCAGGAGGATTGCCCCAAGTTTTAAGTCAGCCTGGACTACACAGTGAGATCCTGACTCCCCCACCAAAAAAAAAAAAAAAAAAAAAAAATCATCAACAATTACGGCTGGTAGTTACATTCTCTTAATGAATAGAGTGATTTGTTCTAATGGTGTTTGTAAATAGGATATCATGTTCGCAAATTGTACAGCAATTAACCATGAGGAAGAATGTATGCAATGTGTTAATTATTGAAACTGTCCTACCAATTTGATTTGAAACTGACTCATTGCTATTTGTTTATCAATAAAATTATGGAAAAAAAAAAAAAAACGCAATTACGGCCGGGGAGATGGCTCAGTAGAATAAGCGCTTCCCTGGCAAGTGCAGGGGTCTGAGTTCAATCCCTGGTTCCACAAAAAATAAAAAATAAAAAAAAATAACTGTATTACTTCTCTAACTTAATTTTGGCAGAGCATAATGACACACATCTATAATCATAGAAGTAAAAAATAGTATTTGATTCTACTCAGAAATGGCAATCAAGAAAAGTCAACCATAATAAAATTATCTTTCTCTTTTTAGTGTGTATTAGAAGATTGTTTATCTGGAATAGCTAAGACCTTACCTGTTCCATGTTAATGATAGTTTCAGTTTAGCTATCTTTTTTTTATTTTTGGTGAGACATGGCCTTGCTTTGTCTTCCAGGCTGACCTTGAACTTACTATGTGGCCCAGGCAGGCTTCAAACTCACAGCAATCCTCTTGCCCCTGCCTCCTAAGTGTTGGGATTATAGTGTGTGCCACCACATCCAGCCTAAATGACCTGACTTTTAACCAGAAGGGAAAACAATTATGAAAAAGATATTTTGGCATGGCATATGCAATATTTGCATAACTATAATCTAATATACTAAGATTATTGTACCCAGTGAAATCTACAAACAACTGGGAATCCTGATTGATTTCTTTCTTTTTTCTTTTTTTGGCAGAACCAGGGATTGAACTCAGGCACTTGTGTTTGCCAGGCAAGTGCTTATTCTACTGAGCTATCTCCCCAGCCCCCTGGTTGATTTCTGAAAATTACAATATACCATATTGCTTATATCAAATATAATATATCATTGTGACATCAGCAGTTGACTTTTTTTTAATGTTTCAGAGGACCACCTCATCACCAGACACAAAGCATGGTAATTACATTTCATTTATCACAGTAATATTCCAAGTTTGTAATGGATGAACATTTAGACTCCTTTCTCCCAATTCAGTTGTTTGGATGGTTTTAAAGCTTAGCCTTTTAGTTCAATAATTCTTTCTGTGTAGATTTATCTCATCCTTTTCTAAGACTGCATAATGTGGTTTTTTTTTCAGAACTGGGGATTGAACTCAGGCCCTTGCGCTTGCCAGGGAAGTGCTTATTCTACTGAGCCATCTCCGCGGCCCCTGCATAATGTTTTTAAGTGTGCATTTGCTCAATTTTATTTAAGCATTCCCATATCCATCTTCTCCAGAAAAAACCTCTCAAACATTTTTATTTACCCATGCAATTAATTTAGCTGAAACTTAACCACCAATCTGTAAATGTTTAATCAGCAAGCAAATCTGTATTTGTGCTCTTTCCTTTTTTAGTGCAGAGTCTATAGGGTCTCACTACACAGATCAGACTCATAGTGATCCTCCTGTTTTCAGCCTCCCAAGCTCTGGGATTACAGGTGTGCGCCATCATGCCCAGTCGCTGTCTCAGTGCACCCTGGGAGCAGAGTGAGAACTCCAGGCCCCTCCATCTGCCTAGGCAGGCACTTTAGTCCACTGAGCTGTCTGGCTGGTCCTAGACATGTCTGTTCTTTTAAACCTTTTCTCTTGCATTGCTTTTACCCAAAGCCTATTTGTTGTTTGCTTGCTTGTTTTTTACTTTGTAACCTGAGGAAGTATCAAACATCTTACTTAGTACTTTCTAAATCTTTATACATTCCTCTTCTGCTTAACTTTTATGCTACCTTTCTTTTATTTACAGTTCTTACCTTCTCAGCCTTTACCATCATCATCTGAAAAATTGCTAGGGACTATACAAAATCAGTATTTTTTTTCCCACTAAAAAATTAGCCAAATACTTAATCATTGGAAATATCTCATTTTATTCTTAGTAGTAGCCTCAGAAAGATCTGAGGGAAAATTGCACCCATAAAATAAAAGTGCTAAGAAATGTGAGCAA